GATGTACAAATGCGCTTTACACAATTGCTGTGTGTATGGATTGGGATAACAGTTGTATGAGCTCCTAATAAAATGTTAAAAAAAAAAAAAGAGTTGTATGAGCCCCTAATAAAATGATTTTTAAAAGAAAAAAAAATAAAATAAATTCAGAAAATTTGCAAAATAAGTTACTGATATTGAGGTACAGGTACAGACTGATAAGATTAGATGGATGTTGCCTAAACTCATTTACCATATAGCCCATTTATCTTTTTCCCTTATCGCTGAGTTGGTGTATTTTTATATTTTAGTGCATTTTCTGATTTATAAAAGTAAGACCTGTTCAACATAAAGTTTATAAACTATAAAAAAACTGTAATTCTACCACTCAACTAATCTATTAAAATTGTACAAAATTAATGCATGTTTATTTTTTTAAACATCAAACAAAACAAAAATCTCCCCTTCACTCCTCCCTATGCATCTCATCCCCCTCTCAGAGGTAAGTAACCATTGGGGATAGATTGGTGTGTGTATTTCCATGGACCCACAGGCATATAATGATATGTGCTTAAAAATTAGATGTGATTATTTTGTACTGCAATGTGATTATTTTGTACTGCTACCTGAAACTTGCTATTATAAAAAAACTTTCTTGACTTAGGTGCGTGTAGAAGAGTGCATATATCACAAATGTACAGCTTAATGGATTTTCATAAGCTGAATATAACCTATTTAACTAGCTTCTAGTCAGGAAACAACATTGCTAGCCTTCTTGCAGCCCCTCTTAACCAGTTTTCCTACCATACTGTGGATAAATGCTTACCAGTAGTGGCATAATTAGAACTTGGTTATTCTAACTTGGGAATGAATGATGTTATCAATGGTTTTCATTCTGGTAGTTATGAGAATTTGTATAATTGAATTGGTCTGGAAATAGAAATACCATATGATCCAGCAATCCCACTCCTAGATGACTATCCCAGAGACCTAAGAGGCATGAATGACACGGACAGGTAATATATACATCCATGTTGCTTTGTCTCCCACAGCACTTCTTTTCTGCTGGGTTCTATAATTATTATTAGGGAAGTTACAATTCAGGTGAGAAATGCTCAGGATACAGTTGTTCAGTCAAGGCAATCTGCAGTGCTACATGTAGGCTTCTCTCTGGTCCTCAGCCTCTTGACTTGACTTTTGTTCTGTTGGAACATTGTTTCAGATGTATTTTAGCACTGTTAATAAATACCTGAAGGGCATGCCCACCCCTAAGGCATTCTGCTCCAGCTCCAAGGGTTATCAACCCCAACTCCCCCCATTTTAGTGCCAGAAGTACCCCATCCCACAAGCCAGCCTCCTGTGGTTTTATCTGTCAGTGGGTTGGGAAGGCTCCCACTGTCTTAGGCTCTGGCTCTTGGTACTACTGTGGCGCTCCTCTCCTGCTCCTCCAGTATCAGAGCTGCCTCCTGGATCAAGGAGGTTCAGTGCACAGGAATCTCTGGCTCCAAAGGATGTCCTCCACTCCTGGCACTTACTTCTCTCCCCAACCCCTACCTCCCGTTTGAGACATACTAGCAGGATGGCAGTCACATTTAATATTGTTAACAATCACGCACAGCTCAATACTCCCATTTAATCAGTATCTTACTCCATCCACCTTCTACTCCAGAAGGTGAAGGTCATTTGGTGAGAGTAACAAAGGCTATACTAGAAGAGCCATATTAAATAATTCACTGCAGTACACATGTTCATTGCACTAGTCACAATAGCAAAAAGATGGAAACAACCAAAGTGCTCATTAGTGGATAAATGAATAAGCAAACTATGAAACACACACAATGGAATATTATGCAGTGTTAAAAGAATAATAGTAATTCAGTGAGTGAAACACCTCATTGACATGAATGAACCTAGAGGACATTGTTCTGGGTGAAATTAACCCATCACAAAAGTCAAAAGGTTTACACAGAGGAGAAAAAAACACAACTTCTTTGAAGGTTAACAGGAATGGGAGGGAAAGTAAAGTAAATCACTAATTAGAGCTGTGTAGTATTAAAATAAAAGTGGTATGGGGGAGTGGGGGGCCAGCCCCCACCCGCTGATTGCGGGTTCAGTAATACTACTTCTGGGTTCAGTAATGCACAATTGTACGGTTGAGATATATAAGTATTATATTAGAGTCATCGAGAGCATGAGAGATATTACAATAATGCAGTCAGACACATTACATGGTAGCATTGCTCACCTCAGCCCAGCTTGGTGGTCCAAGTGGAGAGAGGGGGAAGGGAAGGAGGGCAAGGGAACAAGGGTGAGGGGGAAGAGAGGGGAGTCGCCAGGGAGTGAGCAGCAAGGAGGTCAGAGAGCTCTATATTGCTGGCTCACACCTATATACCTTTTGGGGGCAAGCCAGCCCAATAATTACAGGTAGACATAAGTCACAGGGAGGGGCTGCACTATAGTTTACACAGCAGTGAGTGGGTGGTCTAGGGGTTGGTCTCTGGGTGTCCATAGGAACATTATCAGTAGGGTGAAAATGCCTCCTACAGGAGCCTGTCCATTGTCCCCAGAGGCAGGAGCAGGCCCACCCCTGTGGTGGGATGAGACAGCAGTCCTGCAACTGATTACCTTCAGGGGAGGGAATGCCTGCCCATCTGACCTCCCCCCTCAGAGCTGTGTTTCCCATAGTAGGTGGTAACTTACACTTTTTTTTAATAGACCCCCTAAGGGGCTGCACCAATCCTGGAAGTACAGCAATACCAGACTGATGCGGGGAGTGGATGGAGCAAGCTCCTAGTGCACCTCCTACTTGCAAAAATACATTTAATATGTTGTGCTCAGAGGACGTATCAGATATTAAACTGGTAAAACAGATACTACACTTGATCTTAGCCAAAAGGCCGAGAAATGATAACTTATACTTTATCCTGGAGTATGGGCTATAGTACAGAAGTTTTCAATTCCAGTGAGTGCTGAGTAATTTTTTTCCCTGAAAATGGTGTTATGCCAAATAAGTTGGGGAACTGAACTAGAGGGTAGACAGGTGTTCACTTGGGTGAAGGGAAAGGCATTAAATATACAATAAGGGTGAGGTCAGCACAACATAAGGCAAAGGAAGACACTTGGAGAAGCTAAAGAGTTAAGGCAACAAAGGTAAATAAATATTACCTACACAACCCTGCAATAGCAGTCATCATAATCTACAAGTGGATACATAGACAGACACACAAACTGAAAGAATGGGAAGGTGAATGGAGCTACACCCACATTTCTGTGTGTGTATGTATGCCTTTGACAGAAGGTATTTCTACTTACATATTTATATGTGCTGCAAATATACTTATGATTATAGTAGAGCATACAGGGAGCAAAGGAATGAAAATTTCCTACCCATAACCAGCATCTTGAGGGTGAGTTGCTAGCTAGTCTTGGGTCTCCAGAGACATTTAAAGTGATCAGGTCATATAACTCCTTTTCCACCTTCTTGTAAGAATGAGATTATGTATATGAAATTATTTGAGCTCCGTATAAGAAGGGGCTATTTAAAGTGGCTTTGTTTTTATTAGTCTAGAGTTCTTGGGGAATTCAATGTGGTTATAGCATATGATGTAGTATTTAACATCAAGAGCTTTGGGTGGGTGAAATGACAATTTAGGATGTAATTTGTCTTTCTCAATTCAGGTTTTGTTTTTCTCAAATGAACCCCGGATTTTGTTCCACCACCTAAGAAATAAATGTTAGCACATTCCATCCCAGCATCTTTAATACCCTAAATTGGCATTGACTGAACTGTTGGTACAACTTGCCACTTATGCTGTGGTCTGCTGATTCTGAGGTTTTCTCCCCTAATACTGGTTTTAAAAAGACAGATGTTTGCTTTCTAATTGTGCTGAAACCTAAGCGAGTGACTGTCCTAGGTTTAATTGGATGTAGGTGTCTTGTGTCTGCCTGATTTGAACCCACTGTCTGGAGGTGGCATTTTGTTTTTGCACTTGATTTGATGTGTTACTTTCTCCCCTACCTCACCAACTTCCACATACATTCCTTCTCAATGTGACCCTCCATCCCTTAATTTCTGCGTCTTCGGAAACAGGAGTTTCAGCTAGGAGGATCATTACATGTAGGATTTGATAAAGAAACCTAAGTCTGCCCGTGGTTATGAAGGCGTTCAAGTGATTAACCTGGAAGTAGAAGGCAGAGAGAGGCCTGGGGAGCATCTTTGACAGCCGGTGTCTCCCGGTGGCAGTTGCTGGGGACGTCAGGCACTTTGGTAGGTTACCTCCAGGATGAGGCTGCTCACTCATCATACCCCGGTAGAGTGAGGTGGGAGAAGGGGAGCGCCACCACCTGGCTCAGCTGCAGGATGCTTCCAAGCTTTGGGGTGGGGGCCCTTAGAGATGGGGGCAGCGCTAACAAAGAGGAGCCGCGCCGGGGCCGGGGCAGCGTGTAGCTGGCCTATCCCCGGCGGCTGACCTCCCAGTGGGCCTCCGCAGTTGGCTGCTTGGCGAGTCTCTCCGCTGGCTCCCGGCCTCACCATTGGCTGTGTAGCCGGGAGGGGGCTAGCGGGGGCTGGGATGGAGTTGAGGGGGCGGGGCTGGCTTCCGGCGGCGGCGGTGGAGGAGTGAGCAGCAGCCGGCTGGGGGAGGGGGTGTCGGCGCGCCGCAGAGTGCAGCGCTCCCCGAGCCTAGCACCCGGAGCTGCCGCCTCCCCCTCCCCCTGCCAGACCGCTGGAACCCCTTCTCTTCCACCCTCCGGGGGCGGGGGCGAGCGGGGCTGAGCTGCCCTAGGCGGGCGGGGCGGAGCGTGGAGCCCCACCGAGCGCTGCGGAGCAAACCTCGCCTCCCTTTCTGGGCGCAAGGTGTGTGTGTGTGTGTGTGTGTGTGTGTGTGTGTGTGCGCGTGCGCTTTCTCTAACGCCTCCCCGACTTTAGCCGACTTAACCTTGTAAGAAAAGGGGAAATGGAATGGGAATTAAGCTTTCCACCAGTTTATTTTTATTTTGTAATTTTCCTGCCCTTGATCCTTCTTTCCCTTCCTTCATCTCATCCCTGCATCGGGGTAAGGAGATTCAAGACTCTTTTTTTTTTTCTTTTTACTGATGTGTCGATGTCGGTCGCAGAGTAAAATGCACAGAAGAAAAAAGGAGTCCTTTCTTGTGTGCCATCTGATGCAGTAGCCGGAAAAGGAAAAGAAAAAAAAAAGGCAAGTCAGGAGTAGGATTTTGGAGCTGTACCGTATCGAAGTCTATTAAAGCCATCGTCATCTTTCATACTTAGAACTGCCATAATCAGTAATAACAAGGTGCTAGGAGAAAGGAGAGGCAGCTCCATTCAAAGGGTGATTAAAGGAAAATCCTGATAGTGGTTAGAGATTAGCCCCCAAAAGTCCCTTACCTGAGTTAATTGTCGCTGGCTTTGTGTAGTAGCTAATTAACCCAGTTAATTAGAGCCCACAAACTTACCTCGTGTTATAAAAGAAACTTAAGTCTGACCTGTTTCTCTATAGGCATATTTCTTACCAGGGTGCTTCACAAAGTTCTTGGGAAAATTCCATCATCTTTCCTTACCTGTTCCTTGAAGCCCACTTGTATTCATAGGTTCTCAGAAGGGTTCGTTTCTATGGTCAAAAACAAAAACAATTTGCCCAGGTGGATTTTATTTAGTTTATTTTTCAACCTTTCCCCTCAGGGTGTGAATTTGGCTGACTAGCATTACAACTTAAATTCTGTTTATCTTTTTTGAGTCTCTGCTTCTACAATTATGGATCCTGCTTTCCTGAAGGACATGGATTTTTCAGTCCCAATCAGGAACCTCATTGTCGGTTTTAAATTGTTAGGAAAGTTATCAGTTAAGCATATAAAACCTAAAATTTCTGATGTTAGAAATAGGGTGTGGGGGTGGTGGTCATGTTTGTTAAAAACTTGGTTTAAATTGGACTGTTTCAACCAGAAGTGTTTGAAACAGGTTTATCTTACTGTTGATTAGCAAAGAGCTAACATGCCAGAAGGAATGAATGTAATTTTTTTGGCAGCACATTAGTAAATATTCATTAAGTGATTTGGAGTTAATTCTTGCAACCAGGCTCAGTTTCCAGATAGTGTTCTAACTGGAAACTAGTTTTGAAGACAAAATTGATATGCCAGGGCTCTCTTAGAGTTTTAATTGGAATAGTGTATTTTTCTGTGCATCGATTTATTGGATCGCTGTTCAGAAGCAGTTCGGGTGAAGGAAAGTGTAAAGAATAGGGATGATGGGATGGGAAACCATCTCATGTGGGAGCATATCAGAGATCAAGAAACGTAACAGATTTTAAATTTCTGAAATGGCCTTTGCATAGAGTCGTGTAAAGAGTAGATTTGCATAGAGTCGTGCAAAGAGTAGATACACAGTAAACTTGTAGTTTGTTTTTTGGTTTATTATTCATTTGTCCCTTCAAGCACAGTGAATCATGTTGAAATGGGGAAGGAAAAGAAGATTCCCCCAGATGTTGTCTTACCTAATTTGTTACTGAAGAATAGAATGTTTAAAGTCACTGATTGAAGCTAGTGTGTAAAACAAAGTGCACGTTGATGTTTTAAGATACAGCAAACTGGAGAAGTGACACAACCCACTGGAAGGCCATAATCAGCATGCACCACTTCAACTTGTTTGCGGAGGGGGGCCCCCCAAAAAAAAGCCATGTTGTCCTCATTTAATATTCTAGGTGGATTTTTCTGTTTTTAATTTAGTGCAGGTTACTTTACACTTGACTCATTTTATTATGTTTCTATTTTACTGACTGATTTGTTTAATCAATATTTTGCATGTTGTGATAATTTCCCCAAAGAAATTTTCCCAGGAGACAAAAGGCTGTATACAGAAATAATAATAAATGTATCTATGTTAATCTCCAAATATGACATAAGGGTGATGGAAACCTTCAAATTTGATACTCTATAGGGAAACAGTTTTATGAAGCCATGACTTCTCAAGACTAAGGTGTACTTGATTCTAGCTTTGGGATTTTCAGTTGCTCTCATATGCATGTGAAAGTTGGACAAGGAATAAGGAAGCTGCAGAAGGATTGATGCATTTGAATTATGGTGTTGGTGTAGAATATTGAAAAGACTGTTGTCTGCCAGAAGAACAAACAAATCTGTCTTAGAAGTACAGCCACAATGCGCCTTAGAAGTGAGGCTGGCCAGACTTCCTCTCTCATACTTTGGGTATATTATTAGGAAAAGGACATCATCCTTAGTAAAGTAGAAGGTCAGCGAAAGGGGCAGGGCTTCAGGGAGATGAGTTGACACAATGGCTGTGACAATGGGCTCAAACTTCTAACAGTTGTGAGGATGGCACTGTTTGATTCTGTTGTGTGTAGGGTCACCATGAGTTGAATGACTTAACAGCATCTAACAACAATGACAACATGACTTCCCTTAATTTCATAGATGAGGGGACATAGTGCTGTAAAGGTCAAAGTAGCTGATTTAATTTTCTTCAGCAATCTGTTTTTATCCACCCTGCTTATTTCTGTGAGTCACAGTTTAGAATGTGTTAAGAAAAAAGGCCCTGTGTTCTCCCTAAAGGGAGACTCAAGCCAGATCGCTCTTCACATCAGACAAGTAAAATAATCCCCTTGAGAAGGTGAAGGAAAAGATTGGACCCTTGACATTGCTTGATTTTCATAATAATCAGCTTGAGAATTTGGAATTGGGAAAGGCTTGTTCAAGGTGATGAAATACTAGAGGCAAAAACCCTGAGCTCCCCTCTCTGAGAGAATTTAGAGATAATGAATGCATTCATAAGGAGATAGATTGCTGGTTGTTTTTAGCTACTCAGCTTTGTCAGGTGTCTGAGACAATATTTTGTGTGTGTTTATAACCCCCTCCCCCTGGAATTGATTCCTGGAGTCTTTTGAGGAAGTTGTTTACTTCAGCAGTCTAGGTCTGAGGGTAGAGGACTTGGTGGAGTCTGTTTCTGTTTACAGCCCAGATAAGAATGTGGAATTGATGGCTAGTGAGTTACTCAACTCTTACTAATGAATGGTTGCTAGGCAAATAATATCTCAATTGATTTTATCCTCAAAATGTGGCTTACAGTTCTGCCCTTGGTAAGGGCCAAGGGCCAACCAAAATGCCTTTGTAATGATACCGCGTTTTAAGAGTCGTTGGGAGGGGAAAAAATGAGGAGCTGATGCCAGGGGCTTGGGTGGAGAGCGGATGTTTTGAGAATGGTGAGGGCAATGAATGTACAAACGTGCTTTACACAATTGATGTGTTTATGGATTGTGATAAAAGTTGTATGAGCCCCTAATAAAACGATTTTTAAAAAGTATTAAAAAAAAAGAGTTCTTGCTGCTTTTCAGCCTATATAGGTTGCCGCGTGGCTCTGGATGAGGGACTAGATTGTCATCAGGATCTCACCTCATGTATAAGACAATGTTAGCTGTTGGTGATCTGGGCCCGCATATTTATTAATTTCTTCTAGATCAAGTGGTGGGGTAGGGTTACTCTCTAATATTAATATATGATAACCACTGTGTTTGATTATTGGTTTTGTAACTAGTAAGGCAATGAGTTCAAACGTTCACTTTAGAATCAGGCCAGTGATAACACTGCCCCTGGGCCTGGATGGATGGAAAACTAGGACAGAGTAAACAATTGAGGGCATAAATAATGAATCTTCCAACTGAGCCCTGGGAGAGTGAAGGAGATTATCCTCAGAGCTGTTCAATCTGGCAGTGAAAGGCAAAGAGTCCACTGAATTAATTACCCAGACTGTGTTTGATACTGCATTTATTGTGGGATTGGTAGAGTTTAAAACAAAGTTGCCTTTTAGTTATAAACTTTTAATCTACCTCTCTTTTTTTAATGAAATGCAGAGATTGCTCATTTATTTTTTTTAGGCCTGAGCCTTTGCTCCCACAACTGTGTTCTAAATAAGGGTTAAGGGTCTGTGAGAATTGGCCCATCTTTTTGTTTGACCAGATCATAGAATTTTGCTTATTAATTAGATATTTTAATTAGTTGTGAATCTATATGTTAATAAAAGAGAAGAGTAAAAGGCCTTACTTAGACGTGGGTAAAGGAATTGTTTGGGACCTTGAGTGCGTATTATACTTTGAAATGGAATGTGGAATTGTAGGGTGTGGTTCTGTAATGGCTCCCAGAAAGTTCAGATTAATTTCTTCAGGCTCCAGGATTATTTCCAGTACTAAAAAGATAAATGTTTGTTCTTTTAGATTAGCTAGCAGCTAATCTTTTAGATTAGCTTCAGCCAAGGATTGAATAAGGATTGCCCCCGTTGGGCTCAGTATTTCTCAGAGGTAGGAAAAATCCTTCCTGAGACAGTCTAGCTTGGACATTGATTGGATAATTAAACCAGACCCAGAGCCAAGGCCTCTGAGCTTTTCCTTCTTTGATTCTTTTATATGTTATTTTCTTCAAGAATTTCTTTCTGAATTCCTGTTTGAAATTATTTAAAATCTTCTTACCTCTGCCTTGAAAGGCTATTTTTATTTTCCTGGTTTTGAAGGGCTTTTAAAAACCAGATGCCATTATTAATCAATAGAAAAGTAAGGTTGGGAATGAGGTGTTAGAGGAATGAAAGACACATAAAGGAGGAGTTGAGGTTTTGAGTATTAGGTTTGAATGGGTCCCAGGAAAGGAGCCACTGGACTGGTTGGATCAAATTCAGGCATGAACTTAAATCTGTTCATTTCAGGGTAGCCAAAACGGGCAGAAATGTAGTCCAGGTAAGGGTTCATTCGTGTTCATGCAGGAGGGTATACAAGCCAAATGTAGACAGGTGAAATGCAAAGCAATTCCGAAGGCCAATAGTGTAAACAATCTCTCTTTTTTTCAATCATTTTATTAGGG